TTAATGGGGTTGTAAAAGAAGTAAATGCTAGGGTGTTCGGGAGAGGGGTGGGATTAAATTATGGGGAATCAAATTCAAAATGGGAATTGACACAGTTACTTTTTGCTGATGATACTCTGCTTATGGGAGATTCTAAAGAAAAATTGCAAAGGTTAGTGGATGAGTTTGAGAATGTGTGTAAAGGTAGAAAGTTGAAAGTGAACATAGAAAAGAGTAAGGTGATGAGGGTATCAAATGATTTAGATAAAGAAAAATTGGATATCAAATTGGGGAGGAGTATGGAAGAAGTGAATGCTTTCAGATACTTGGGAGTTGAAGTGTCGGCGGATGGATTTATGAAGGATGAGGTTAATCATAGAATTGATGAGGGTAAAAAGGTGAGTGGTGCGTTGAGGTATATGTGGAGTCAAAAAACGTTATCTATGGAGGCAAAGAAGGGAATGTATGAAAGTATAGTAGTACCAATACTCTTATATGGATGTGAAGCTTGGGTGGTAAATGCAGCAGCGAGGAGACGGTTGGAGGCAGTGGAGGTGTCCTGTCTAAGGGCAATGTGTGGTGTAAATATTATGCAGAAAATTCGGAGTGTGGAAATTAGGAGAAGGTGTGGAGTTAATAAAAGCATTAGTCAGAGGGCAGAAGAGGGGTTGTTGAGGTGGTTTGGTCATTTAGAGAGAATGGATCAAAGTAGAATGACATGGAAAGCATATAAATCTATAGGGGAAGGAAGGAGGGGTAGGGGTCATCCTCGAAAGGGTTGGAAAGAGGGGTAAAGGAGGTTTGTGGGCAAGGGGCTTGGACTTCCAGGAAGCGGGCATGAGCGTGTTAGATAGGAGTGAATGGAGACGAATGATACTTGGGACCTGACGATCTGTTGGAGTGTGAGCAGGGTAATATTTAGTGAAGGGATTCAGGGAAACCGGTTATTTTCATATAGTCGACTTGAGTCCTGGAAATGGGAAGTACAATGCCAGCACTTTAAAGGAGGGGTTTGGGATATTGGCAGTTTGGAGGGATATGTTGTGTATCTTTATACGTATATGCTTCTAAGCTGTTGTATTCTGAGCACCTCTGCAAAAGCAGTGATAATGTGTGAGTGTGGTGAAAGTGTTGAATGATGATGAAAGATTTTCTTTTTGGGGATTTTCTTTCTTTTTTTTGGGTCACCCTGCCTCGGTGGGAGACGACCGACTTGTTGAAAAAAAAAAAATATATACATACACACACATACATACATTAATACATACATACATACATACACACATACATACACAGCCTCTCCTCACTTAATGACATACTTGTTTACCAACGCCTCAGACTTACAACGGGCTCTCTGACCACTACTTATACCTTAATAATGTATATTAGAGCTGATTTCCTTTATTCTGTTTATTTCAGTATACAGTACACTACTGGGTGAACATTTAAAATTATACCAGAAATGTTATAAATGGTGCAAAGGTGACATTAAAACAATATCAAAGATGGTTGACACAAACACCACTACCATTATAATATGCTCCTCATTTAGCAATGAAATCATTTACCGACATGGTCTTAGGAACAGAACTCTGTCGTTAAGTGAGGAGAAGCTGTATATACACATGTACCAACATGTTGAAAAAAATATACATACAGTATGTATTATTTTTGTTGTGCCTAATAAGCCAAACTTGCCGAATAGCCTGAACTTCCTAAAAATTAATATTTTCCCAAAAAATTCTTGTACAGAATGATCAATCATTTTTTTGTTCATTGATAATATTTGATAGATTTTTATTTTTGGACCAAAACTAACTTAGAAACCTCACCTAATCTAACTTTAACTACCATAATTTTTGTTAGCTAAATCTTGCTATTTATAGCTTAGGTCAGTTGAAATTTATTTAATATTACTTAAAATCAATTATACATATTTTTCCATTATGTTCAGATTGATTTCTGCTGCTTTATAGCAAGAAAGATTTTTCGTTCTGCTTAATTTGGCAAAGAAATCCCTTGCTGAATAGGCCAAACTCACCGATGCGGCTTAATCAGCACAAGACAGACAGACACATGCATGCGTGTATGTATATACATAGACACATTCACACATATATACATACATATACACATGCATATACGCATATTCACATTTATTGATAACTCAGGATGAGATGTTTGGGAACACCTGTGATCATTCACAGATTTGTGGCTCTAAATGTGCTTCTGTGATGTACGTGTTTGTTATTTACCATTTCTGTAAATTTTTGGAAAATATTTTCACAAGAGAAATTGTAAAAACTAATGTTTATTTAAATGAAGTTTCCATTTGCTGGTAGCTCTAAACTAAGATAATTTTCAGGGACAAGATCACCCGAGGAATTTATCAAAGTATCCAGTCATCAGGAAAACTCAAGATCTCTCCTGAATTGGTAAGTCTGTGAAAGTTTTGGCCAGTTGCAGTACTCTCTCTCTGTGGAAAAAATGACAAGACAGCCTAAGTCTATATATTCTTCCATTGACATGAATTGTCATTAAGTTGTATTTTATTTTATGTCTGTTTTATCCTCTTGTCAGCTCAGTCTCTTCTACTAATAGAATAGTGTACTGTATTTGGCTAAAATTGTGTAATTTATATGGTTACAAGACACATGATGAAATAGTGCACACAGTATATAGTAGCTGTAATAAGTAGTATCTAGCATATTGTATAGTTTTATTAAATTATTTATTTTTTTGTGAGTTAAGTTCAGTTTTTATTCTCTCAACAGCAAGTAGAATTCACTGCTGATGATCTTCGAGACTTGGGGGAGATTGGACGAGGAGGTTTTGGAACGGTTAACAAGATGGTCCATCGCAAGAGCAACACCATCATGGCTGTTAAGGTGGTCTCCTGTGATTGGTATGAGGAGCATGTTGGGTCATGGTGTTGAGGAATAATATGTTAAGTCATGGTAATGAGGAATAATGTGTGTGGTGTCTATTACTTACCAAGGTAGGGTGACTCAAAACAGACACACACTTTCACCATCATTCATTCAATCAGTCTTGCCAGAAGTGTGTTGACATCTCAGTACATATGACCCTCCAAACTGCAGCATCCCCATCCTCTTCTTTAGGAGTGCAGGTACTACTCTTCCCACCTACTAGCTAGGCTGTTTCCTTTAATCTCTTTATAAATGTTACCTGCTTGCACTCCAGCAGTACATCCATTAATAGCCACACATCTTCACTTCTATCAAACAGGCTCATGCAGGCCTGCTGGATGCTCAAGCCCCTAAAACTCAAAGCGTCCTCTACCGCTATGTCTCCAGTCATTCCTGGAACAACTCCCTAACCTTCTTACCTTCCACCTCAGATTTGAATACTCTGTCACCCTATCACTTTCCATCCTCTCTGTATGCCCAGACCACCTCAGCAACGTCCTCCTCAACCCTCTGAATTATACCATTGGTGACCCCACACCATCTTCTAATTTCTGCACCCTGAATCCTCTGCATAATATTCACACCGCACATTGCTCTCAGGCATGACATTGCCACTGTCTCTAGCCACTGACTCACTGAAAAATCAAAACCCATACCTCACACCCATAGAACAGTGTTTGTACCACTATGGTACATTTGACTTTTTGCCTCCAAAGATAAACTTTCCTCAGATTCCTCAATGCATCACCTATCATCTATTCTGTGGCTAATCTCATCTATAGACCCATCTGCTGACATGTTTACTCCCAGATATCTCAATACATCCACTTCCTCCATACTCCTCTCTCAAATCTGATATTCAACTTACCATTGCCTAGACTTTTTGTTACCCTAATCACCTTGCTTTTTTCTACGTTCATTTTTAATTTCCTACTTTTACGTATCCTCCCAAATTCATCCAGTAATCTTTGTAACTTGTCTTCATAATCTCCTAAAAGAACTGTCATCAACAAAGAGCAATTGTGACAACTCCCACTGTGTATTAGATCCAACATCTTTTAATCCCACACCTCTTTCCAACATATTATTTGAACCCTTTCAGTGGCTGTCACATAGAACTTTGTCATTGGGACCATGGTCCCCCACGTAGTTCTACATCTTGAACTCATCTCACTCAGATAAGCTATGAACAGTAAATTTTGGAAAAGATAGGAGAGAATGGGTCTGCATGGTGAGTGTGCATAACATAAAAAAAAATCCTGCCCCACATGGTGAATGATGAGAAAAGCAAAATACAGTGGACCCCTGACTAACGATATTATTTCAATCCAGAAATCTGTTCGGGTGCCGTTATAGACCGAATTTGTTCTCATAAGGAATATTGTGAATTAGATTAGTCCATTTCAGACCCCCAAAAATACACCTACAAAAGCACTTACAAAAATACACTTACATAATTGGTCGAGTTGGGAGCTCATCGTTAGTCGGGGGTCCACTGTACTTACCGTGTGTTTGAATTAAAATAGCAAATTTGAGTTGTTTTCTAACATGGTTTTTATGGTTTTATAGACTGTTTCTTGGTATTGTATGATAATACCAAGAAACAGTATTATATGATAATTGGGATAGTGATGAAATAAGACATTTTGATAATTAATGTTTATTTGAAAAATACACGGCAATAATCTTTTCTTTCTTTCAACACACCTGCTGTATCCCACCGAATCGGGGTGGCCCAAGAGGAAAAACGAAAGTTTCTCCTTTTACATTTAGTAATATGTACAGGAGAAGGGGTTACTAGCCCCTTGCTCCCGGCATTTTAGTCGCCTCTTACAACACGCATGGCTTAGGGAGGAAGAATTCTGTTCCACTTCCCCATGGAGGTAATAATATGGCAGATAATTTATTTAATAAGAGATATGACTACCCTTTGCTTTTATAAGCATTGCTGCACACTTTGGCATAGAATTGACCAATGTTGAACACATTTTGGCAGGTTCTTCATCGTGGTGCCAGGTCCTAATAACAGCAACAATTAGCTTCTCCACAGTTGAACAGTCCTGTTTTGCAATCTTGTGATTGGTTATTGTCCATAGATTCTCAATTGGGTTGAGGTCATGAGAGTTTCCAGGCCAATTTAGAATGCTTAGCCCATTCATTCTCTTTGAAGTTATCATTTTTCTGGAAGTGTGACATGGAGCAAGATCTTGCTGGAAAATGCCTTCTCTGTCATATCCACAATGGGAAGCAAATGAGTTGCCAGGATTGCCTTGTATTTGGCATTGTTCATCGTTCCTTCAAAATAACGAGCGGTCCAGGGCCTTTAACAGTAAAACTACCCCAAAATATCATCATAGGTGGTGTTTTGGTGGCTGTTGAATGTGTTCGTTCTGAAGAGGTTTGCCTTTGTTCTATTTTATTACCACTGATCTGTACCCATGTAATTCAAAGTGTACCTCATCTGAAAATATGATTTTTCTCCATTCATCTGTTGTCCATTCGTATGATAAGTGCCCGCGGGGGCCATTTTTTTTTTTTCATAGCAGCCATTGAAAAATCGATTTTTTACTGCCTTTCGACAGTTTCTGCCATTTTTTCAAGGAGCCTGCGTTCTGCCTTTTCAAGATCCCTTCATTAAACATTAAAAATCAACTTATATAACTGAAGCCAAATATCTTTGAGATTTTTGTTGGTTTTTTTGGGATCCTTACATATTTTTTATAAAAACTTCTGTTTTTTCCACATCTTCCCTACACAGCTCCACAATCACCAGGTATCAGCCCTCTTAAATCAAAACATTGACTTGCTAGGCTCAAATTTTCAGCACTCGGTCGATACTCAAATCAGCATTTTTTCAAAAGGCTAAAATATTTCAATTCGGGTGTAACATCCCCTGAATATCCATAAATGAAGGGGAGAATTTGGTGAATGGTTTGCGGGGAAAAACCCTTTTCAAAACAACAACTTTTGTAGACTGAAAAGAGTTGCAGGGTAACATAAACCCTGGAAGTTGCCAGATGTTGGAGAAAACTCTTCTGAAAAGAAAAAAACCCAGCACTTAATTAAGCCAGAACTAAGACTTATAGAAAATCACAAATTTCTCCCTTTTAAATTTCCCACCCCCAAAAAAAATTTTAACCCGTCCGAAACAAACCCCCCCACTTTTTAAAAAAAAAGGGTTTTTGGAAAAAAAACCTCAAAAAATAAAAATTTAAAATTTTTCGCTTTATGGAAAACTTCCCACCCCTTGTTATTTTATGGGGTTTTGAGGGGGCAATTGAACCAAAACCAGCCAATTTGGATTTTTACCGGAAAAAGGAAAATTTCCCGTTTTTTTGTAAAAGAATTAAAAAAAGGGGAAAAATAAACACCCAAATTTTCCTAAGTAAAGGGGAAACTTTTTAAAAAAAACTAAAAAAAAAAAAATTAAAATTTAAAATCCCGCCAACCCCTGTGAGGTTTTGTTCAAAACAGAAAAACTTTTTTTGAATGGAGGTCTTTGCTTTATTTTTAGTCATTCAGAATTTTTTTAATGACTCGGCCGTCACCCGTCAGCAGGTTGACCTAAAAGAAAAATGAAAATTTTTCTTTTACATATATAATTTATAAAGATGGGTACAGCCCCTTGCTTGCAACATTTTAGTCACCTCTTAAGACATGGAGGAAGGATTCTTTTTTATTTCCCCATGGCGAATTATTCAGAATTATGTTACACAGTTTTCTGTTGTGTAATTCTCTAGTTGCATACAGCATAGTATTCTTTTGTTTCTATTTATTGTGCACTCTTAATCATTATACAGCAAAAGAGTGGAGTGGTTGATTCTCATATCTTGATCTCTGCAGCGGATTCGTTCAACAGTGGATGAGAGAGAACAGAAACAGTTGCTGATGGATCTTGAAGTGGTCATGAGAAGCAATGACTGTCCATGTATTGTACAATTTTATGGTGCCATATTTAAGGAGGTAAGCAATAGTATTGGAAGACTTGAATTAAGCTGTGTTTATCTTGCAAATCTCTTACTTTCAATATATATTTAGCTTCACTTTCCTATTTCTTAGAGTTATTCCTGTAATGCTGTTTCTTCTTTTCTAATTTAGGAGGCCTGGTCTGAGATCAGGTCACAGGGGTAGTGATCCCATAAACCAGTAACAAATAATGGCTCATAGATCAGTTGTATTTTTTTTTTTTTTTGGCTCATAAACGAAGGATCTAGGTTCAGTCCTGGACTAGACAGGTGGACAAGTCACCTTACACCTGTTACCCCTGTTATAAACCAGGCTAGTTTATTCTACCTTACATTAGAGTATCATCTGGTTGTGTTTGTATACACAATAAAGGCATTAGTTCCAAATGTATCATGTGGTCCTGTAGGCCATGGGCAGCAATAGCTAGGGCTTGAATAGAATTCCACATAGCTGTACAAAGCAAACTCTCCATATCTTAGGAAGTATCCAATTGAAAATTGAGATTTTTTTTTTTAAGCCTTTCAGGTGGCCATTTTTCTAAGTACATGATATGACTTACTGAAAGATCTACTTTGTATAGGCTCAAAGATTCTTTGTACTTGATGGATGCCACTCTCGCAAATTCCAGTTCAGTCAATAACTACAAGAGCTAAACTGTGCTCTTTAATTATGCACACTGAAGCTGACACAGCTCAAGAATAGTTCTCTTGTAAATAGAATCACTTAAGATGAAATACTCTGAGCATAACTTTTTTCTGTACTATACAAATGCTAAATGTGTGACACCAAATATATATCTGTTTTGTTAACTACAAAAAAAAGTATAATCACAGATAGGCAGTCTAGCTGTGTACAGTATGAATATGCTTTTTTTTTTTTTTTTTTTTTTTTTTTTTTTTTTTTTTTTTTTTTTTCAGTTAAGCTTGACTCAAACAGTAATAAATTTTTTTTACAGGGGGATTGTTGGATATGCATGGAACTGATGGACACATCCTTGGATAAGTTTTACAAATTTATATATGAACGAATGCATGAGAGACTACCAGAAAACATGCTTGGCAAGATAACAGTTGCAGTAAGTACCTTGTAATAAGAGTGTCTATCCATCAAGGGCTATGTATGTCATGATGATCAGTGGTCATCACAATAGTACACCTGGTGCTGCTCACCTGTATGATCACACTTACTACTACACTATATAAAATAAGATTATATTGTACCTGTAATAATGTTGAGTTAACATACTCTTAGAATTTTTTTAATGTACAGTATAATTCTTTTGTAAATTGTGATTTTGTACAGGCAGAGAGATAATATGCAAGTTTGAGGTGAAATTGTATAGTGTGCACAACATCTCTTTTTCATATAATGTTTTTTTTTTTTTTTTTTTTTTTTCGACAAGTCGGCCGTCTCCCACCGAGGCAGGGTGACCCAAAAAAGAAAGAAAATCCCCAAAAAGAAAATACTTTCATCATCATTCAACACTTTCACCACACTCGCACATTATCACTGTTTTTGCAGAGGTGCTCAGAATACAACAGTCTAGAAGCATACACATATAAAGATACACAACATATCCCTCCAAACTGCCAATATCCCAAACCCCTCCTTTAAAGTGCAGGCATTGTACTTCCCATTTCCAGGACTCAAGTCCGACTATATGAAAACCGGTTTCCCTGAATCCCTTCACTAAATATTACCCTGCTCACACTCCAACAGATCGTCAGGTCCCAAGTACCATTCGTCTCCATTCACTCCTATCTACACGCTCACGCACGCTTGCTGGAAGTCCAAGCCCCTTGCCCACAAAACCTCCTTTACCCCCTCTCTCCAACCCTTTCGAGGACGACCCCTACCCCGCCTTCCTTCCCCTATAGATTTATATGCTTTCCATGTCATTCTACTTTGATCCATTCTCTCTAAATGACCAAACCACCTCAACAACCCCTCTTCTGCCCTCTGACTAATACTTTTATTAACTCCACACCTTCTCCTAATTTCCACACTCCGAATTTTCTGCATAATATTTACACCACACATTGCCCTTAAACATATAGAAAATTGCAAGTATAAATCTTTCTGTACACTAGAATTAATCTGGTATATAATGATCACATTAATTTACAATTGTAACTGTTATTGTTGTTTTATTTTCAGACACTAACAGCTCTGAACTACTTGAAGGAAAAATTGAAAATCATACATAGAGATGTAAAACCTTCAAATATTTTACTGGACAAGCGTGGCAACATAAAATTATGTGATTTTGGCATATCTGGTCAACTTGTTGATTCCATTGCCAAAACAAGGGATGCTGGATGCAGGCCATACATGGCGGTAAGTAAAAGATCCCCCGGATAGATCGTGCTGAAGTTCATTGTATACACCAGCTACCAGTGAATATAAAACAAAGTTTTTCTTTCTTTAATAAACTGGCTGTATCCCACCAAGGCGGGGTAGCCCCAAAAGAAAAACGAAAGTTTCTCTTTTTAAATTTAGTAATTTATACAAGAGAAGGGGTTACTAGCCCCTTGCCCCCAGCATTTTAGTCGCCTCTTACAACACTGATGGCTTACAGAGGAAGAATTCTGTTCCACTTCCCCATGGAGATAAGAGGAAATAAACAAGAACAAGAACTAGAAAGAAAATAGAAAACCCAGAGGGGTGTGTATATATATGCTTGTACATGTATGTGTAGTGTGGCCTAGGTGTAAGTAGAAGTAGCAAGACATACCTGAAATCTTGCATGTTTATGAGACAGAAAAAGGACACCAGCAATTACAATTACAGGCTTCTGTTTTACACTCACTTGGCAGGACGGTAGTACCTCCCTGAGCGGTTGCTGTCTACAAAAACATAAAGTATACACATAAAAATATTTACATATTAGATTTTAACAAAAAGAGTGACAGCTTTGAGTATCAGTTGGGAAATACTCTCTAATACAGTATGAAGTACAGTGGAACCTCTACTTACAAGTGCATCCACGTGTGAGTTTTTCCAGATACGAGCAGTCGCTCACTCGATTTTTTACTTCCAGACATGAGCGAAATTTCTAGATGCAAGCGAGCCTCAAGGGAGGTTCCTTGACGCTGGTGAGGGGCTCTTGCTCTTGATCTAGGGAATTGAATCTCAGTTGTTTGTTGTACTATCTTACTGAAACTTGGGCAATGCATTATGGAAAGATGCTTCTTAACCCTTTACCAGGCCTGGGAAAGGGTAATCACCCCTTTACCAAGAGTAGAAAAGGGTGATCACCCCTCTCCAGGCCTGGTTTAATGTACACCAAAAATGAAAGAAATCGGACCATAAATAACGGAGTTTACTTCTCAGCCATTAGCCTCCAGTTAGCGGTATACATGTATTTTTGTATGGTTTTTATGGTCGTATTCTCGTTTTTTTTTTTTTTTGTCTCATTTGATAGAATGGAAGATATACTGCAGAAATAAGATATGATTTTGATTGGTTTCACGACAAAAGGTACCTTAAAATTGAGCTCAAAGTAGCAGAAATGTTCAGTTCTTTGGCAATGCTCTAGAGTAAACAAATAATGTCACTGTCTAATACCTGTCCAATTGGCACTGCCCCTCAACCTTCACATATTGGAAAGCTCTTCAACACGCTAGCAACAGTAGGAGCAGACATCATGAGGTAGCAGTGGCAGACAACATGAAGCAGCAGTTGCAGACAACATGAAGCAGCAGTTGCAGACAACATGAAGCAGCAGTGGCAGACATCATGAAGCAGCAGTGGCAGACATCATGAAGCAGCAGTGACAGACATCATGAAGCAGCAGTGACAAACATCATGAAGCAGCAGTGGCAGACATCATGAAGCAGCAGTGGCAGACAACATGAAACCAGTGGCAGACAACATGAAGCAGCAGTGGCAGACAACATGAAACCAGTGGCAGACATCATGAAGCAGCAGTGGCAGACAACATGAAACCAGTGGCAGACAACATGAAGCAGCAGTGGCAAACATCATGAGGTAGCAGTGGCAGACAACATGAAGCAGCAGTTGCAGACAACATGAAGCAGCAATGGCAGACATGAAGCAGTGGTGGCAGACATCATGAAGCAGCAGTGGCAGACATCATGAGGTAGCAGTTGTAGACATCATGAAGCAGCAGTTGTAGACATCATGAAGCAGCAGTGGCAGACAACATGAAGCAGCAGTGGCAGACAACATGAAGCAGCAGTGGCAGACATCATGAAGCAGTAGTGGCAGACCTTGTACCTTGAAAACAACCTTGTTGTACCCTGGTAGCAACCTTGTTGTACCCTATACTATAAGTTAGTTTCTGAATGCCATCACAAGATGGCAGTATGTATCATAACGCTTGGTCCACTCCACCTGCGGTGGAGGGAATTCTTGTGTTTTCCTTACGTTTTGTGCAGTTATTTCTTGTTTCTAACCATGGGTCCTAAGAAAGCAAGTGCAAAGAACAGTGCTGAGAAGAAAAAGAGGATGATTTCCATGGAATTAAAGCAGGAAATCATAGATAAACAAACTAGGTGGAGGGTTAAGGACTTGGCCAGGCAGTACCAGCATACCACTTCTATGATATATACAATACTAAAGCAGGAGTCAGTGACAAAGTGTAGCAGTAAGAGTGTAGCAATTAAGTGTAGCAGTAAGAGTGCAGCAATTAAGTGTAGCACTAAGAGTGTAGCAATTATAAGTCACTCTGTCTGACTTTTTTGGGTTATCCTAGGTTCTCTACACATGTAGTCAGGGCAGGAATGTCTGCTGTGGTGGCCCTATAAACCCCAACAACAACAATGGCCGCTGTCACCACCACTAGCCACATAAGTAATGACATGTATTTTATTCATTCTAGTGTATATATCATGTTTCTATGTTATTAATATTGTTTATTATGTCATATTAGATGAATTGTGATAGATAAATAAGCTGTAGAGTTGATATTAGGGAAATATTGAAGTATTTTGTCGTGCCTGGAATTCCATTGGAACGCATTAATTCAGTTTCAGTTAATTTAACTGAGGAAATTTGACTCTGCAAACGAGCAGATCCAGGTGCGAGCAAGGTCATGGAACGGATTAAACTCGTAAGTAGAGGTTCCACAAATCCAGGTGTGAGCAAGGTCATGGAACGGATTAAACTTGTAAGTAGAGGTTCTACAAATCCAGGTGCGAGCAAGGTCATGGAACGGATTAAACTTGTAAGTAGGGGTTCCACTCTATTTCAACTACCTTTCATTCAGAATTTTGTATAATTGAGAGAGAGCCTAAGCAAGGATTAGTCCATATGTAAGAGACATGACCTTAGTGCTAGGTGGGGCTTAAAGTTTAACTGTCTTATTAGTCATAAATTTTTTTCCTAGTTTCTAATTGCGTGAAAACTGGTAGAAGATTTGGAAGGTACAAGGCCAATAAGCAGAGCAGTATGAAGACACTAATAGCAGAACCAGCCCATATTAGAAGCTTCACTTAAAGGCATGCTTTTTTTCATGACTTAAAGAAGCTCAGCTTTGAGTGAGCTATTATTGAACCAAGATTTGCTCTGCTATAAGTGAATTGCTGTAGCTAGCATGAACATGTGTTAGTAACTGCATTTCTAAGTTCATCTAAATGTTATACTCCTGCAGCCTGAACGAATTGATCCTGCAAGAGCTCGTGGCTATGATGTACGGTCTGATGTTTGGTCACTGGGCATCACTCTTATGGAGCTTGCCACAGGAAGCTTTCCATATCCTAAGTGGAACTCTGTGTTTGAGCAGCTGACACAAGTGGTGCAGGGAGAACCGCCTCGCCTCTCTCCAAATGAAAATGGAAACACTTTTTCTGAGGAATTTGTGTGTTTTGTTAACACGTGGTGAGTATCATTGGTGAAATTCCTTGCCATTTCATATCTCAATAATCTATATTTAACCCTTTGACTGTCACAAGCCCATTTCTGAAACTGTCATTCTGTCACAAAATTTTTGAAAAAAAAAAAATTTATTTTTTCTTATGAAATGATAGAGAATCTTTTCCCAATGGTAATGACACCAAAAGTACGAAATTTGATCGAAAACGTACAGAATTATGCTCCCGTGAAGTTAGCGATCTCGGCGATATATACGCATCGGTGATTTCGCAGACTTTGAACCCTATTTTTGGCCAATTCCATTGTTCCAGTCGACCAAACTCGTAGGTATTTCTTTAGAACTCCATTTTTTCTATCAACTGAGTACAAGAAACTGCCCATTTACCAATTTCAACTACCCAATAAAGTGGTCAGAAATTGGCATTTTGGCCAATTTCATGCAAATTAAAAAAGATGCCATTTTCAAAATAGGTTCCAGAATAAACAATGCAGACATTCTTGGCACTAAAAAATCATATCCTCTGTTCATTAGTCACTTCTCCAGGCCCTTCTTATATTACTCTTGCTTTCTATGTTGATTTTTAATTCACACAAAAAATAGAAAATTTACTGTTATGCAGACTGCTGCATTATTGTAAAAATGGTATAAATAATATCAGTACACTAGTGAAAGAATATAGATTCCCCAATTGACATGTATTGAATGTGTGGTGTGATTTGCTTACTCTTAAGCGTTGGTAAAAATCAAACATTTCCGCAACTTTGAGCTCAATTTCAAGGCCGATTTCATCGTGAAACTAACCAAAATCATCTCTATTTCTGTAATATGTTTTCCATTTTATCAAATGAGACCAAGAAAATGAGAATACAACCATAAATACTATACGAAAATACACCTCAAATTTGGCGTTTTAATCCAAAACACGGTCAGAGTTTTTTTATACTCATTATGCAGTGCGTACTGCAGAATTTTTTTTACACAGTGCACACTGACCACACAGACCCATTCTCTCACATATGGGCCTACCAGCTTTCTCCTCCTTGATTTGAAGCCGCTAGAATTATTGAGTATATATAGTACGTCCGAAACACTGGCTCGTAAGACGTATATATACGGCCGAAACAGTCAAAGGGTTAAAAAACTTTCCAAATTAGGTTCTTACCAGCTGTCTCATGAATATTCCAAATCTTCCCCTGGGCTAACATTTAACTGCAGTAGAACTTCACAAGACTAGTATTTACAATGTCATCTCAAAAGTGTAGCCAAATATCTACCGAGTGAAAAAAACAATTAAAACTGGAGATTAAGGAATTCATCGACAAATTAAAGAAATTCAGATAAGTTACTGCTTTCTATTCCCTTGTATTTTAAAGTTAATTTCCAAAGGAAGAAATTTGTGCATAATAAACAATTTGAAATGCTTTGAATTATACATTATACAGTGTTGTAGATTATCCAGTTCATAAAGTAAACAACTAGATTTGTACATGAGAGATTTGATCATCATAGAGCACAAATTATTTTGTGTTTGGTTTTAATTAGTAGTATGGACAGCCATGTTCATATGTTCATACCCCAAATAATAAGTGAAAATTATCAGTGGGTGGAAAAGAGCAGTTTTTTACATTATCGAATGTATTCAAAACACCTACTAACATGTTTACACTCACATATTAAGTGTTTAATACAGTTAGGCATAAAAAAAAACAGATAAAAGAGTAAAATAAATATACAGTACCTGCAATATACTTTAAAATACGATGCTGTTCGTCCTTTCCCTACGTAACTGTTGTAAAAAATGGCGATAGTGGCAGAAATGCGATAAAGGCACTGAACATAATGAACAGTGGCTCAGTTGGAATGTGGAACTTTGAAAAGTGGGAGCTGTATACATAGGGCCCTCCTGTACATATTACTTACAACTTATGTGATTTAAATTGAAATTTTTGTGATATACATATATATCTTTTACTTTTTTATGGATATCTGCTCTTGGTGATTCATTTGATCCAACTATCTTTTTTTTTTTTTTTTTTTTTTTTTTTTTTTTTCTGCACCAGCCTCATCAAGGATGAAAGCTCTCGCCCTAAGTACAAGCAGCTTCTTGAGCATGACTTTGTTATACGCTCTAGAGCTGATCCTATGGATGTAGCAGAGTTTGTATGTGGCATACTGGACAAAATGGCCAATAATGGACGAGTTATGTACACATACGATTCGTACAATTGCTGATGAAGCTCTCAGCATAGCACCTTCCTCGGCAGTTTTGACTGGTGAGTCTTGAAGTTTGGTAACTAGATTATACACTTTACAAAGTTGCATGTCTAGTTAATTGCTCAGTATCTCTTCTAGAGCAAATATCTTTTTTGTTTCTGATTTTTTTGAACACACTGGGTGTTTCCCACCGAGGTAGGCTTACACGAAAAATAAAAGCTCCTTTCACAATTTTTCACTCATGATTTCTTCCACATGCACACTTACATTACAGCTAGATGCCCCTCCTAATTCAATACCCCCCCCCCACCCTTCAGAGAAGGAGACTTCCCCCTCCAGGATTTAAGTTGGCTTTATCTAAGTATTACAAATATATACTTCATTTTTAAAACACTTTTTTTACAATCCCCTACCCTTCCTAAAATTTTTTTGTTATTTTTATCCTGCTCTCTGCTTACCCCTTAAATTCTTTAAACAAAAAAAATTTTTGTTTACACTTTCCTTGTTTACTTTTTTTTTTTCAACAAATCAGCCGTATCCCACCAAGGCAGGGTGGCTCAATAAGAAAAACGAAAGTTTCTCATTTCAAATTTAGTAATTTATAGAAGAGAAGGGGTTACTAGCCCCTTGCCCCCGGCATTTTAGTCGCCTCTGACAACACGCATGGCTTATGGAGGAAGAATTCTGTTCCACTTCCCCATGGAAATAAGAGAAAATAAACAAGAACAAGAACTAGAAAGAAAATAGCAGAAAACCCAAAGGGGTGTGTATATATATGCTTGTACATGTATGTGTAGTGTGACCTAAGTGTAAGTAGAAGTAGCAGGACGTACCTGAAATCTTGCATGTTTATGAGACAGAAAAAAGACACCAGCAATCCTACCATCATGTAAAATAATTACAGGTTTCCGTTTTACATTCACTTGGCAGGACGGTAGTACCTCCCTGGGTGGCTACCATCCTGCCAAGTGAATGTAAAACGGAAACCTGTAATTGTTTTACATGATGGTAGGATTGCTGGTGTCTTTTTTCTGTCTCATAAACATGCAAGATTTCAAGTACATCTTGCTACTTCTACTTACACTTAGGTCACACTACACATTTTTTTTTTTTAACAAGTTGGTCGTCTCCCACCAAGGCAGGGTGACACAAAAAGAAAGAAAATCCCCAAAAAGAAAATACAGTGGACCCCCGGTTAATGATATTTTTTCATTCCAGAAGTATGTTCAGGTGCCAGTACTGACCGAATTTGTTCCCATAAGGAATATTGTGAAGTAGATTAGTCCATTTCAGACCCCCAAACATGCACGTACAAACGCACTTACATAATTGGTCGCATTGGGAGGTGATCGTTAAGCAGGGGTCCACTGTACTTTCATCATCATTCAACACTTTAACCCACTCACACATAATCACTGTTTTTGCAGAGGTGCTCAGAATACAAGTTTAGAAGCATATACATATAAAGATACACAACATTTACCTCCAAACTGCCAATATCCTGAACCCCTCCTTTAAAGTGCAGGCATTGTACTTCTCATTTCCAGGACTCGAGTCTGGCTATATAAAAATAACCAGTTTCCTTGAATCCCTTCACTAAATATTACCCTGCTCACACTCCAACAGCTCGTCAGGTCCCAAATACCATTCGTCTCCATTCACTCCTATCTAACACGCTCACGTATGCTTGCTAGAAGTCCAAGCCCCTTGCCCACAAAACCTCCTTTACCCCCTCCCTCCAACCTTTTCGAGGACGACCCCTACCTCGCCTTCCTTCTCCTACAAATTTATACACTCTCCATGTCATTCTACTTTGATCCATTCTATCTAAATGACCAAACCACCTCTACAACCCCTCTTCAGCCCTCTGACTAATACTTTTATTAACTCCACACTTTCTCCTAATTTCCACACTCCGAATTTTCTGCATAATATTTACACCACACATTGCCCTTAGACAGGACATCTCTATTGCCTCCAACCATCTCCTCGCTGCAGCATTTACAACCCAAGCTTCACACTCATATAAGAGTGTTGGTACCATTATACTTTCATGCATTCCCTTCTTTGCCTCCATAGATAACGTTTTTTGTCTCCACGTATACCTCAATGCACCACTCACCTTTTTTTCTTCATCATTTCTGTGATTAACCTGAACTCCCAAATATCTGAAAACATTCACTTCTTCCATACTCCTCTCCAATTTTATATCCAATTTTTCTTTATCTAAATCATTTGATACCCTCATCACCTTACTCTTTTCTATGTTCACTTTCAACTTTCTACCTTTACACACACTCCCAAACTCATCCACTAACCTTTGCAATTTTTTTTTAGAATCTCCCATAAGCACAGTATCATCAACAAAAAGTAACTGTGTCAATTCCCATTTTGTATTTGATTCCCCATAATTTAATCCCACCCCTCTCCCGAACACTCTAGCATTTACTTCATTTACAAACCCATCTATAAATGTGTTAAACAACCATGGTGACATTACACATCCCTGTCTAAGACCTACTTTTACTGGGAAGTAGTCTCCCTCTCTTCTACACACCCTAATCTGAGTCTCGCTATCCTCATAAAAACTCTTTACAGGAGTTAGTAACTTACCACCTATTCCATATACTTGCAATATCTGCCAAAATTACAGTTAACCTTGCCAGGAGTCGAACCTGGTATCTTCTGGGTTTTTTCTATTTTCTTACTAGTTCTTGTTCTTGTTTATTTCCTCTTATCTCCATAGGGAAGAGGAACAGAATTCTTTCTCCGTAAGCCATGCGTGTTGTAAGAGGCAACTAAAATGCCGGGAGCAAGGGGGCTAGTAACCCCTTCTCTTGTATAAATTACTAAATTTAAAAAGAGAAACTTTTGTTTTTCTTTTTTTGTTTTGGACCACCCTGCCTTGGTGGGATACTGCCGGTTTGTTGAAAGAAGAATTCTTACTCTCTCTTTTATCCCTATTTCCTTTATACAGAGGAACTGTGTGTGCTCTCTGCCAGTCCCTAAGTACCTTCCCACTATTCATACATTTACTAAACGAAAGCACCAATCACTTCAAAGCTATATTGCTATCTGCTTTTAAGATTTCAGTCTTGATCCCATCAATCCCAGTTGCTTGACCCTATTTCATTCTACCCACAGCCTCACACACCTCTCCTTCACACTTATTCAGCTTTCCCTCACTCTAGCTGTTATACCTTTCTGTCAATGCGTGAAATCATCAGATTTTACCAAGTCCTTGAAATATTCCATCCATCTTCCCAATGCCTCCACCTCCCCATTTAATAACTCCCCTCTTTTGTTTTTTAACTGTTAAATCCATTTGTTCTATGGGCTTTCTCAGTTTGCTAATTCCACCTCAAAACTTTTCTTATTTTCAGCAATATTTGTTGCCAAAAACCTCGCTGACTCACTCTCATCTGCTCTCCTTTTAGACTCTCTTACCACTCCCTTAACCTTTCTTTTACTTACCATATACAGTAGGGCCCCGCTTTTCGGCGTTTTGCCTTACGGCGTTCCGCTAATACGGCGTTCTCAAATTATGACCAAAACTTTCTAATACGGCGCGTGCCACCTGGTTTGTTTACATTCTCCATGAGCACATCTCTCTATTATGTAATAATAATCACTGTTGGGCACATTAAATGTCTAATTTTACATCAGTATAGACATTTTCATTAATCCATCTATGATATTTTCTTCAAAATTATATAAGAAACATGTTACATAGCATCTAAACATGCTGTTTATATACTAAGGAGGTGTGGTAACCAGGCGGAGGGAAAAAATTGAGTCACTCTCGTTAATACATAACACTTTAGTTCACAATTCTCTGCATGAATTATTCATTACTTCTCCATTTGTTTGTGATGGCATCTAAAGGTAGTAACGATTAAACTCGGTAGGAGTAGGTATGTAGGTAGGAGTAGGTATGTAGGTAGGAGTAGGTATGTAGGTAGGAGTAGGTATGTAGCCCAGGCAGACTACATACCTACATTATTATTATAATTGATAATTATACGTATGTGTACCTGTACCTAAGTAAACTTACACATTGTGCTGGCATGCAGGTACACATTAAAATCACTAAGAGTATCTTATTAGTCTTGAAGATGCCTATTAATAATGATAATAATAATAACACAATAATAATCACTAAGGAGCATTAAATATCATATAAAACATTAATATAGGCATTTTGCTTAATCCATCTAAATACACCCCACAGTAGAATAAATTAACATAAATATGATATGAGATGTGGTAGCCAGGTGACTTGTAGGACTTGTGGTAGCCAGGCGACTTGTAAGACTTGTGGTAGCCTGGCAACTTGTGGTAGCCAGGCAACTTGTGGTAGCCAGGCAACTTGTGGTAACCAGGCAACTTGTAGGACTTGTGGTAGCCAGGCGACTTGTAGTCCAACATCAGAAAAAATGTGTCGCTATAACATTACTGGGGGTAACTAGAAAATTATTCCTTTCGTATGCCTTCACTCAGGGTGTCATTTCTTCTAAAAATGGTGTTATATGAGAATGGGAGTGTTTCTCTTTATTTATTCTACTGTATCAATGTGGAGACAACTTGTACACAATGTAAAGTGATAAAAACCAGACGCGTTCGTCTGGTTTGTTTACATTATGTGTGCGTGGGATTGGGAGGGTTGCCCTTCCTGGCTACCCATACTTTCCAACCTGACTCCATACAAATAAAACTAACCTCTCACCCTACAGTAAGACTACAAATATTTTAAGGTAATTAACGAGTGTACTACAGTGGACCCCCGGTTTATGATCAGCTCCCAATGCGACCAATTATGTAAGTGTATTTATGTAAGTGCGTTTGTATGTGTATGTTTGGGGGTCTGAAATGGACTAATCTAATTCACAATATTCCTTATGGGAACAAATTCGGTCAGTACTGGCAATGAACATACTTCTGGAATGAAATAATATCATAAACCGGGGGTCCACTGTATATGTATTTTATCGCTCTTGGGAGCTTAATGTCGTAGTAGGTGGGAGTGCCCGGGCAGGATGCCATACCTCCCACATGACTTTCTACAAATAAATACTTTTCACCTCTCACCCTACATTAAGACCATTAAAAAAAAAAAAAAATAATACTTGTACTGTATATGCATTTTATCGCTCTAGGGAGCTTTAAGCATCGTAGTATAGTATGTGTGGGTGGGGTGGCCAGGAGGGCTACCACACCTGACTTCTTAAGGTAAATACTACTCACCTTTTGCCCTACATTAAGACTACAAATATTTTGAGGTAAATAATGAGTGTACTGTGTGTGTATTTTACTTTTTAATGCCTAGTTCTATTGCTAACTTAATATATGTTAGTGTAAACTTGTTATCTGGCATTTATATGCATTTATAAATGGAAAAAATGGAGTTCTGCTTTCCGGCGAAGTCTGCTTTTTGGAAGTAGCCTGGAACCTAACCTGCCAAATAAGTGGGGCCCTACTGTACTTCACCCTCGCTATAGCACATTTGCTTTGTAAAAACCTCTAATGTGCTATATTTTTGTGAAATTGTATCCTTAATCCTTTTCATTATATTCACTGGGAAGCATTCAGTATTGCAGACAAAGCTTAAAATTCACATTTTTCTGTTTAGTCGGGTAAATACTGTTCTCAGACAATTATATAATTTTATGGAGTCTGATTAAAAAGTGAGCAAGTCATCCTTAACAGACAAAGCTTCCTGTTATGTGTTATCCTCTGCCTTTAAAATTTAGTGTGTGTTGTCTCCACAGGACTATGAGAGAAGTTGACTAGTGCAAGATGGAGGTTCAGGCAGTGCGGCATTTATTTTTGTGTACCATGGGTTACACCAGCAAGCACATCAACTATTGGATTGAGAATGCCAGCTCAGCTGCAGCAAGGCATAGGCAGGCACTAAATGGCAGCAAGTTGGCACATATTAATTTACTGTGATGTTTTACCCAGTGGGATGAATTTAGTTTTAGAAAAGTAAAATAAGTATGTCAGATATGAAATTGTTACAGAATTGAGAAGAGCAACTCCTGAAGAAAGCCATAATTGGTAAGAACCTTTTCTGATATAGAGTATGTAGTGAAGCCTTTAACGTGCAAGTTACTTACAAAATACAGCATGACACATCGGTCTATAAGGTACTTGGCACTGTTGGGTATGGAGGTGGGCAAGGTATTAGTGCACTTGGATGCTTGCTGAGGCTTTCTTGAGTGAGCTAATTTTAGATGCTCTTCATAATGGCATTTCTGATGCCTAGCTCCTTAGATGAAAATTTGAGTGACTTTAGAGTTGCCATTATTAACGGTATACTTTCCTGATGAACTTGACTGTGTTCCCTGATGTAATAAAAAGACAAAAAAAGTGACATAACCTCGTAAAAATAATTATATCATAACACATTTAGATTATAAATATTTAGGAAGATGACTATTTTTAGTGCCATTGTTATATAGTGTGATTATGATTTAAAAAAATTATTTATTTATTGTATAGGGTGTTGAACCACAGATCCCTAGGGTGATTTCTAGAACAGTTTGTGTGAGTACGTGCACATGGATGATAGGAACATAACTTCCTAAAAGACACTTTAATTACTTTGCTATGGTTCTTGGGTTACTGTTATCCCAATACGGACACAAATATATTGGGTTTAAAATAACATTTCATGGTCTTGTTTTTTATTATAAATATTTTGCTTTGTTTCTAATTAACAAGAATGAATGTAATCTGAGTTTTTCATGTTCCTGCATAACAGTTGTGAAAGTAAAGAATGAAAGCCAAGTTAATTTTTAATCTGCCTTTGCAGTTTTGCAAATGTTGGTCATAATTATTTTTCTTTGGTTGCAAAAGTTTTTCTCAAAATTGAAGAGATAATAATGCCATTGGTTTAATGTGTTATTAGTTTCACCAGTTAACCTCTTCAATATGTGTGATTCCCAGTATAATTACCTTAAGAGATTACAAGTGGAAGGCTCCTCCATCATTGTGAACATGATGAGGACCACCATCACTGAGCTCAGATCAAATTAATACACTGCACTTAATTTGTCATGGCTTGTGAGGAGCTCTTGCCAGAGTATTATTTTCAGACAATATTGTTCCAGTCACCTGTGTTCCATAATAAACAAAAGTATTTTAAATATTCTCTCTCTCTCTCTCTCCTCCTCATGGGCCTAATTAAGATTAGACAGAAAATTTTGTTAAACTACATACAATATGAAATTGATGGCATTAAGATACTGTAATGTTTAACAACATTTGGAGTGGTCTTGTAGTGACAGTCCATAATGTTCCATTGTATGCCAAGTTTTTACTAATAAGGAAGTGAACTTCTTTCTTTGGTTATTAAGAAATTCAAGATCACTTCCTCTAAGAATTTCTTTATAATGATGCAAGTTCTATCCTATCGTGACACTGGGAAGCAGTTGTCAGTCACTTCCCTCTGTCCTGACAAGACAGATGAGCAGTTCATTTTGTTACTTAAACTTTTTACTGCTGGGAACACTCACCACCTGTGGACTGTTGTCAACTAATGGTGATTGTAGATTTTTTCAAATGAATAATGTGTTCATAACCTCTGTATACCTCTGTATTTGAATGTCTTAACTGAATGTCCTCATTAATTTTTGTAAACAATTTTAAAGGCAGTTATACATTTTAAACTTGTTATAGGATGAAATGACAAATGGATTTCAAAGCATATTTGGGCAGCAACTGGAGAAAGAACTTAAAATGAAGAGACGTTAACATGTTTGACATTTGACTATTTTTGACAAAAGTAACTGATATGTCACTGAATGAGGAATTGGTAGTGATGTTATTGTGTGCTTGCTACCTCCCACATGCAGTCTGGATTAATTAGAAATGGTCTTTTGAAAGACTCAGTAGGTAGCTACTTGTTTGTTATTACATATAGAGAATTAATGGATTCTTGCTTTTTGCAGGTGAGAGGATTCATATGGTAACATTACATAGAGTAGTTTGATTGAAATCAATCCCGGCACATTGCTTTAATTAGTACGAGTAATAGTCCATGCACATAGCCTTGTGTAGTAAAGTTGATTATGGTCTGTAGTAGGCACTATATCTCATGTTTGCTGTATATGTTATTGGTCTTTGTGCAGTATGCATACTGATGACTATACTGCATTTGATTTAGAAAAATTATGTGAGTAGTTTGTTAAAACTAGAGGCAAAAGCTAATTCACAATATGTTAACTTGCTATCAAGACCAAAGTTGATTATCTCACTTTGCATGTACAATACTACTTATAAACAATTTGAAATCACTTAAATATCAGCTAGATAGTCTTATTAGAATATTGCTTTTAGAATCCACATTGACTTAAAAGGTCATCTTGCCTGAAGTAGATATTTTAGGAAAATATTGAGTAAAGACAATATGCACCGTTAATTTCCTTGCCATGGCTTGTGCATGAGATATCAGTAGAGAACATCCAATAATCAATGTACAACTAAGAACCGAACTGAATATTTAGTTTTGCTTAGTTTGGCTGTGAAGATATTTCATCTAATTTTTTTTAGTTTTACCTTATAGGTAGTACACAAAACACTCATCACTGCCTCGTGTGGTTGGTCACCTCTTGTGTAATGTAATCCAGTGTTCCAATGGAGCAATGTTTACAGTAAACAAATTTGTCTATATTGCTCAATAACAACACGTGTGAACAAGTAGTAAATAAACTCTTATGTAGGGTAGGGAATCTATATAACAGATAGTTACTGCACAAACTTTTTCATGTTTACCCAAAATACTTAAAACCCAAAGTAAAGAGGAAAAATGGGGACAGATGGGATTACATATTTGTGAATCACATGTATACAGAAGGTCCTTGTGTACAGGCACTGATAATCTTAACATCTGTACTCAAGATGTACTAATCCCATTCCTTCTCCTTGGACATGTGATCGATAAAATATTGTAATTGTCCCACTGGTGCTGTTGCTTCTTCTGTGCGCTTATGTGTGTGGTTTTCTGTAGACTTGAAAAAGCTAATAGTACAGGTTTCCCCCTCGCTTTATATAGGTTTGCTTTATGTGAATTTATTATGTGATGTCCCATTTCTATTGGTGATTCTGTATACATGATATACTTTACATTTTGTTGTGTGCAATTGGTGCAGTTCACAAAAAAGTATTAGATTCTTATTTTGTGGAATTAAGCGTTGATGACTTGATTGAGATTAATACAACTACCATGGGCCTGGAATGCATCAAATGCATAAAGCAAGGGACACCTGTACAGTGAAGTGTCTATAAAATTAGTTCACTACCTTGCTTGTATTTACATTGTCTATATTAGCTGGCTAGTGAAATGAATACATGAAAACTGAAATATAGGAGGAAGTGAGATATAATTATGGCATCTGTACTTACCAGTGTCCTTCTTTATATTAAAATGTATTATCAAGATACGTACTTGTTGATCAAAAATACATTTTAGCATGTACTGTATACATATTACAGTATGGTTATAATTTGTCTATTTTATCTATGCAATGAGCATGGGAATAAGATTTTCTAAACCATGGTAATAATATTTCAGGTGAAGGGGATGAATGATGATAAAGGACCAGTCCCAGTTGTTAGTAATATGAAGAAGTTAACTCCAGGTTACAAGAGATAAGTTATTCTCTCATGTTAAGCTTGTTTGCCCTCGACAGAGTAGCCATGTTTTGCCACTGTCCGTCCTACCTGCCTTCTTGTTGATGTAACTCTGTCTTCTCTTTGAATAGATTTCAGAATGCTCTACAGCCTCATGATTATAGGTGAAGTTATTAATGCAATACATTGTTTGAATTTAATTTGTTTTATTTACAGTATTTATATTTTGAGAAGACGAAAAATAAGAATGGAAGTACAATACTGTAATTCATTGTTTGTTTGGTAGTTATCCCTTGGAGGTTGATCATGTTGACTTATTTTTTCATCTTTTCATCATTTTGAAAAGTCTTTTATTGCACCAGGTGTAGTACTCTTGTCTGTACTGGTTGTATAATTTTTCTTATCTCTGACACATGTATGTGGTCTGTTTTTATAAGGTTGCTGGTTGGTCGCATTCTGAGTAACCCAGCGCTACTTTCACTACTTGTTGTCAGTCAACTAATTGATGATAACACTACACTCAAGTAGGGTCATCAATTATTCGGGTTGTGATTTTATTAAAATGAGTCAAATTCTAACATGTCAAGATCTGGGGCATTGATGTGGATCATACAATACTGATTATTCCATTGGTTATTTAAAAATAAATCCATATTCATGGTTAATTTTACACTCTTATTTCAATAACCTTTTGTAATCATAATTAATATTAAGGAACACCTTTGTCGCATCTAATTCTTACTTGCAGTACCGCAATTTTAGGTTTTGAGAAAGTCTTGTACAAATTACATATAATTCTTTAAACTGTGTTTCTGTTTATAAACTGCTATCTGGATGTTGTATAGATCTTTGAATCATAATCCATCCATTAATAAAATTAAAGGGGAGCAAGGGGCTAGTGACCCCTTCTCCTGTATGAATTACTAAATGTGAAAAAGAAAACTTTTCTTTTTCTTTTTAGGTCACCCTGCCTCGATGGGAGATGGCCGGTACATTAAAAAAATTAGACTGGTAATACATTTGACATACAGCACTTGTACTTTGATGATTCAAGGGAGTGACAGTATTTGAACTCTTGCTTTGAATTTACCAGCCCACCCCATTACCCACTCAACCACAGAGTTTAAATCCGGTCTCTCCATTGAATTGTTACATTTGTTCATTACAAATTTTCAGTACACACCCTGATAAGGTTTACTAGAGGAGAGAAGGAAGGGCTAATTGAATTTTATTGAAAGAAACAGTATTGTACCTGCCTTGCATTGTCTTGAGAACTCTTAATTAATTCTTCTTCTCTTGTTCCTATTTCTGAACACCTGTTGTGCTTGTAAAACCAGCAAACAGTACTCTTAGTTGATCGGTCAATTAAAATGTTATAGAGAAATAATTAGTAGTTACTACCTGCATGTGTATTTTTTCAACATTTTGTGATACAGCTTGTAAACAGGCTGTATATTTCTTGTATGAGCCATGACTTCATACACATCCATAAACCTTAGGCTCTTCCTCGCTGTTTTTATGGCATTCTCCATATATGTTTACCTTAGCAAAACAATTCCTTGATTGCACAAACACTGAAAGTTGTTTAAAACATCTTTAATTTTTCAGTTACTTCATAACCCTCCCCACAGTGTAATAAAATTTTTGTTGGAGCCACGTGATCATTTGTCCTCTGACCTGTATACTACAACAACTGAGATCATAAAATCATTTGTGGGTCAATAAAAATACAATAACAACTTATGGCACCTAAAGAATCCTGATAAACTCTGTAGTTAATGATTCATTTCTACACTGATGTCCTGAGTGAGATTATCATGAGTCCTAAAGAACTTTTTTATCCAGTGTTGGAGCTTCCAGTGTAATGAATAATTATTTCTCGTGAAAACTTTTTAAATTACTGCAAAATTGTTTGTTTACTTATTCTAGGATAAACTACATGACTTTTATTCATTATGTTGTTGATTTTTCATGTGTTTGTAATCAGCTTTTTTCTTGTATTATAAACTTCTTCTGCCTCTCTCTTTGTCATTAGTTTATGTTCTTTCTGCGCTTTATATCTGTATTCAATAAGTTTTCTTTTTTTGCATTGTGTCTACTTTTTCATGTATTAGTATTTTAATTTTTAATTATATTTATTATATTCTAAGAAAAAAACTCATTTATTGCACCATAGTATTGAGACTCCTCAGTAACTAATTCATTGTTGGATTTTGTAAGTACTGAATGATTATATGGTATTATTCATAATGACATATCAGGTCTGGCTCATTATAGATTGTCAAATTGTCATTATACTGATGTTATAATGTACAACATGTGCAAATGTGCTGGATTCATAATACAGTATTGTGTGTATTACTATGTGATAAAATTTAATTTGTCTCGTAAATTTAGGCGTCAGTAGAGTATGGAAAATTCTCGTAAACTCTTTCATATTTTAATGGATTAAATTACATTAGCACAAAGGGTGTGATTGGCATAGTTTGGTTGACCAGTCATAGGTAATCATTCTATTGGTTGGCTTGATGCATTATGTTCAAGACTTGCCTAATGAAAATTTCTAATTTTCGTGGATTATAGTTGACAAATATTCTAGTTTATGAACAAAATATTTGAAATTGAGACTATTGTTTATTGGATAATCAGGATTACCATGTCTGTTGTTTTATTTGATTGATTACTGGGTAATGTGGAGTCGTATGATCGAGTCTCACTGAAACACAGTTATTAATAATCCTCTTATACAATAAGGATTCCAAAGGGATATTTGTATAATTAGTCTCCTAGATGATTTGATTTTGCAAATTTGGAATTAATCAGAATTCTAATTGATTGGGTTGTAGAAATAGGATGAGAAGTGATATAATTGCATTTTCGTTATACTGATGTTATAATGTACAACATGTGCAAATGTGCTGGATTAAAAGGCTGCCAATACACATTCAGTGTTCATTCTCCAGAAACCAACAGCTGAAGCAGTTATATCCAGCATATCTCATCTTGAAATGCTTTGGCAACCACACTGCGGTGTCATTATTTTTCCGGTCACATTATGTTAATAGTTGTCCACACCTGAACAGGATTACCTAATGGTTTCATCAACAATATTTTAAATTCTACCATTTTTTTTTTTTCAACAAGTCGGCCATCTCCCACCAAGGCAGGGTGACCCAAAAAGAAAGAAAATCCCCAAAAAGAAAACATTTTCATCATCATTCAACACTTTCACCTCACTCACACATAATCACTGTTTTTGCAGAGGTGCTCAGAACACAACAGTTTAGAAGCATATACGTATAAAGATACACAACATATCCCTCCAAACTGCTAATATCCCAAAACCCCTCCTTTAGAGTGCAGGCATTGTACTTCCATTTCCAGGACTCAAGTCCGGCTATATAAAAATAACTGGTTTCCCTGAATCCCTTCACTAAATATTACCCTGCTCACACTCCAACAGATTGTCAGGTCCCAAATACCATTCGTCTCCATTCACTCCTATCGAACATGCTCATGCACGCCTGCTGGAAGTCCAAGCCCCTCGCCCACAAAACCTCCCTTACTCTTTCCTTCCAACCTTTTCGAGGAGGACCCCTACCCCGCCTTCCTTCTCCTACATATTTAAATGCTCTCCATGTCATTCTACTTTAATCCATTCTCTCTAAATGACCAAACCACCTCAACAACCCCTCTTCAGCCCTCTGACTAATACTTTTATTAACTCCACACCTTCTCCTAATTTCCACACTCCGAATTTTCTGCATAATATTTACACCACACATTGCCCTTAGACAGGACATCTCCACTGCCTCCAACCACCTCCTCGCTGCAGCATTCACAACCCAAGCTTCACACCCATATAAGAGTGTTGGTACTACTATACTTTCATACATTCCCTTCTTTGCCTCCATAGATAACGTTTTTTGACTCCACATATACCTCAACGCACCACTCACCTTTTTTTCTTCATCAATTATATGATTAACCTCATCCTTCATAAATCCATAATCCGACACGTCAACTCCCAAGTATCTGAAAATATTCACTTCTTCCATACTCCTCCTCTCCAATTTGATATCCAGTTTTTCTTTATCTAAATCATTTGATACCCTCATCACCTTACTCTTTTCTATGTTCACTTTCAACTTTCTACCTTTACACACACTCCCAAACTCATCCACTAACCTTTTCAATTTTTCTTTAGAATCTTCCATAAGCACAGTATCATCAGCAAAAAGTAACTGTGTCAATTCCCATTTTGTATTTGATTCCCCATAATTTAATCCCGCCTCACTCCCAAACACCCTAGCATTTACTTCTTTTACAACCCCATCTATAAATATATTAAACAACCATGGTGACATTACACATAAATAACAAAAAAGGCACAATACCATGGCTGGAACGATACACAAATAACCCGCACATAAACGAGAGAAGCTTACGACGACGTTTCGGTCCTACTTGGACCATTGACAATGTCACATGTGTGACATTACACATCCCTGTCTAAGACATACTTTTACCAGGAAGTGGTCTGCCTCCCTTCTACACACCCTAACCTGAGCCTCATTATCCTCATAAAAACTCTTTACAGCATTTAGTAACTTACCACCTATTCCATATACATGTACTTGCAACATCTGCCACATTGCTCCCCTATCCACTCTATCATATGCCTTTTCTAAATCCATAACTGCAATGAAAACTTCCCTACCTTTATCTAAATACTGTTCACATATATATTTCAATGTAAACACTTGATCTACACATCCCCTACCCACTCTGAAACCTCCTTGCTCATCCGCAATCCTACATTCTGTCTTACCTCTAATTCTTTCAATAATAACCCTACCGTACACTTTTCCTGGTATAGTCAATAAACTTATTCCTCTATAATTTTTACAATCTCTTTTGTCCCCCTTCCCTTTATATAAAGGGACTATACATGCTCTCTGCCAATCCCTAGGTACCTTCCCCTCTTTCATACATTTATTAAACAAAAGTACCAACCACTCCAACACTATATCCCCCCTGCTTTTAACATTTCTGTCATGATCCCATCAGTTCCAACTGCTTTACCCCCTTTATTCTACGTAATGCCTCACGTACCTCCCCCACACTTACATTCTGCTCTTCTTCACTCCTAAAAGATGGTATACCTCCCTGGCCAGTGCATGAAATTACCGCCTCCCTTTCTTCCTCAACATTTAAAAGTTCCTCAAAATATTCTCGCCATCTGCCTAATACCTCCCTCTCCCTATCTACTAACTCCCCTACTCTGTTTTTAACTGACAAATCCATACGTTCCCTAGGCTTTCTTAACTTGTTTAACTCACTCCAAAAATTTTTTCTTATTTTCATTAAAATTTCTTGACAGTGCCTCTCCCACTCTATCATCTGCTCTCCTTTTGCACTCTCTCACCACTTTCTTCACCTTTCTTTTACTCTCCATATACTCTCCTCTTCTTATAACACTTCTGATTTGTAAAAACCTCTCATAAGCTAACTTTTTCTCTTTTATCACACCCTTTACTTCATCATTTCACCAATCACTCCTCTTTCCTCCTGCCTCCACCCTCCTTTAACCACAAACTTCTGCCCCACATTCTAATACTGTATTTTTAAAACTATTCCAACCCTCTTCAACCCCCCCACTACTCATCTTTGCACTAGCCCACCTTTCTGCCAATAGTCGCTTATATCTCACCCAAACTTCCTCCTCCCTTAGTTTATACACTTTCACCTCCCTCTTTCTTGTTGCCACCTTCCTCTTTTCCCATCTACCTCTTACTCTAACTGTAGCTACAACTAAATAATGATCCGATATATCAGTTGCCCCTCTATAAACATGTACATCCTGGAGCCTACCCATTAACCTTTTATCCACCAATACATAATCTAACAAACTACTTTCATTACGTGCTACATCATACCTTGTATATTTATTTATCCTCTTGTTCATAAAATATGTATTACTTATTACCAAATCTCTTTCTACACATAGCTCAATTATAGGCTCCCCATTTACATTTACCCCTGGCACCCCAAATTTACCTACTACTCCCTCCACAACATTTTTACCCACTTTAGCATTGAAATCCCCAACCACAAGTACTCTCACACTTGGTTCAAAACTCCCCACGCATTCACTCAACATTTCTCAAAATCTCTCTCTCTCTCCTCTACACTTCTCTCTTCTCCAGGTGCATATACACTTACTATAACCCACTTTTCACATCCAACTTTTATTTTACTTCGCATAATCCTTGAATTAATACATTTATAGCCCCTCTTTTCCTGCCATATCTTATCCTTCAACATTATTGCTACTCCTTCTTTAGCTCTAACTCTATTTGAAACCCCTGACCTAATCCCACTTATTCCTCTCCACTGAAACTCTCCCACTCCCTTCAGCTTTGTTTCACTTAAAGCCAGGACATCCAGCTTCTCATTCATAACATCCACAATCATCTCTTTCTTATCATTTGCACAACATCCACGCACATTCGGACATCCCACTTTGACAATTTTCTTCTTATTCTTTTTAGTAGTCTTTACAGGAAAAGGGGTTACTAGCTCATTGTTCCCGGCATTTTAGTTGGCTTTTACAACACACATGGCTTACGGAGGAAAGATTCTTATTCCACTTCCCCTTGGATATAAAAGGAAAAGTAATAAGACCAAGAACTATTAAGATAAAATCAAAGAAAACTCAGATGAGTGTGTATAAATAAACGTGTACATGTATGTGTAGTGTGACCTAAGTGTAAGTAGAAGTAGCAAGACATACCTGTAATCTTGCATATTTATGAGACAGACAAAAAAAAACACCAGCAATCCTACCATCATGTAAAACAATTACAGGCTTTTGTTTTACATTCACTTGGCAGGATGGTAGTACCTCCCTGGGTGGTTGCTGTCTACCAAAAAGTAATTGCTTTGGCTTGAAACTTTCTAAACCTGTGTATCCTCTAAGGTGCACATAGTAATTGAGTGTGTAATCCCCTGGTAGACAGCTTTAGTTAATTGTGTGTTGTCACGGTGGTAGAGGAGAGTGGTCAGCCTCGGAATTGGAGAAACTACACATATTAGAACATGATCAAACTCGCTCTGCATATTCCCTAATCCCAGCAGATGTCCTGATGGCCTCTGTTGAACTGTGGTCTGAAAAATGATTTTCTAGAGAAAGTTTTCTGAAATTTTGCTGTTTTTTGAGTACAGCATTTCTCATTTTTGCTTATCTCAAAGATCATAGAAACTTTCATTATATTATGCATGTCTTTTCTGTACACCATTGGATAGTACAGTTATGTTTAACTTTTGAATATTTTGTGAAAGTCTGTACAACAAAAACAGAGCTAGCAAAAACCAAAAAATTTTTACGGTATATGGTAGTGCCCATGGTCGAGTGCATGAGAATTGTAAAATAATGCAATTTTATAAGACTGATTTTGAGAAAATTAGCTTAATCACATAATTTGCTGGAATTATATTCATCCGAAACTATCACACAGCATCATTGAGTATGTGGTTGGCAAACATTTGTTCATTTGTCAATCTGGAATTTGAAAAATAATTTCCTCTTCATAACTATGTACTTATATATACAACTTTATATCTCCCTTCAAAACTAGGTGGAAGTTTCTATTGTGTTAAATTTGAAATGTCCAGCACATTTATTTTATTTATCTTTGCATAATTATTAAAGCTTTTATGTTTTTTACTATAGATCTGAGTAAATATAAAATATTAAGACAGAGTATGGTGATAATATAGGATCCAGAAATTTAAACTTTGATTTGTTACCATTATGGAGAATATCTATTCTTCATAGTGTTGTGTGTAAAGGGAGAAAGTTGAAAGTAAACGTAGATAAGAGTAAGGTGATGAGGGTATCAAATGAGTTAGATAAAGAAAAATTGGATATCACATTGGA